AATTTATTATATAACAGAAATATAAGAGATATAATGCTTATTTATTAAAAACAATCTTTATTAATGTAATATGGATATTAAATGAAAATAATAAATAATTGAAATAATAATAAAATCTGTTTCTCATATAAAATAAATAAAATATAATAAAAATTTATTAGAATAAGTAAAATCTCTTTATAATATTAAAATGTGCCATATATTAAGATCAAATAATATTAATACATTACTTTTCCTGCAAACATTTTTCTTTCTCTGGCTTTGAATTACAATGTTTTCATCAAAAAGGTGGAAATAATTTAGCTAAAAGGTTCAATATGACGGTTCTCCGCATCTATCGTAGTTCACAATGGTTTATGTCCTGTCACGTCATTTGCTGCAGCTCTATATATCCATCCAGATTGCGTGTCACGCGAGAGCGTATACATATACATATATTTGCAGATACGGTTGTATGCGTAAATGTGCAGCGCGATGCATACTACGAATGGGAATGGCATGAGAATGAATGCAGATAACTTAAATGTCCTTTCCTTCATTCTTTCCTACAAAGAGACATTTTATTCCAGATTTAAAAAGAAAATAGTTTGTATATCTCTCGGTGAGATTACGTTAAAAGACATTTTTAATCGAACACGAATTTATATAGGCTTAAAATCGAATAACTAATTTTAATAAAAAATTATTATGTTTCATATTAAATTTTTATATTAAGTAGAAAAAATAAATGTAAATTCTCAGGTCAACTACCATCAGAGATACCGCATATTTTCTGCGATGTCACGATTCTTTAAAGAAAAAGTATCAATATATAAAAGTTATAATATATGTCGCTTCACGTTTCAATTTAATCACTAGCCTGATTTAAAGGCGTCGACAGCCACATCAAAGAGTTCGGAACGTCGAAGATAATAATCGCGGGTTTTCTCTCTTGGCTAAAGTGTATGCGAGAAAATAAAGTAGCGAGCGAACTTTTTACGAACGAATAACTTTTTTATACTCTTGATGGATAACTAAATTAATATCACTTTTTTATTTCACGGATAAAGAGTATTCATAAGACGTTATGGTGACAAAAATGAGATAAAATTTTGTGTCGTATATATGAGTGACATAGAATAATTAGTGAAAGATTTATATCACTTGATTGGTTTGAGATGAAAAATGTCGTGTCCGACAAAATGTGTAATTGCATGATATTTTAACGCATAAAATGCATGATATTTTAACTTTTTGTAACGTCATCAATTAAAGATTAAAGTTATTCTGATTAAAAATTCAAAGAACAAGTTATGCTGGAATATTTGACAATTAATTAGACTAGAATATTACGTAAGAGCTTATGATTATCTCATCAAGAATTAGATTTGATATTAAAAAGGAATAGAATATGAAGATGAATTAGTCGAATTTTTTTCACGAATGTGTCGAGCCTCTAAATTAATTGATTGCTACGCAAATCGGTTTAAGTTACGGCGAGACCCAGATGGATTTCGCCGGCGAGAAACGAGGTTAACGATTTCAGGGTGAATTTGCTCCAGGTACCCGACACAGAATACCGGCTTAAAACCTATCGGGTTACTCGCAGTTAAAGCCACGTTTTAACTACAATGCGCGCACGGCCGTACGGAAGCGTCCGCTAATGAAACGCACAATTAACTGTTATCGCCATCGCGCATCCTGGGACTTCGCTAATCGAATTTTCGTGTGATTACGCGCATTTTCCCGTTCAGTGCGAAACGCACATTATCCTTTCCCGTAAGCAAATTGCGCAATTGGTCTCTTGCTCCGTCAATGGTGTTCGTTCGTGTGACATTCGATAGGCATTGATTAATTGAAATTAAATTAATACAACTTAGCTATTGTAGAATGTAGTTGTATAGCAAATGGGCTAAATTACATTTGCTCTGTAATGCAATCAATTATTATGATAGTAAAATTTGTTATTCTTGAACCACAAAAATAATTAGCTACTCTTGTTATCTTTTTCCTTGCATCTAAAAATTATATGAATATTTATATAAAAATAAAATAGAGAATTTCTTTTTATTGTAATTTTAATTTAATTTTTTTTTTAAATTTGAAAGTTTATTTACTTGAATATATATCTAATTAAATTCAGACTTTCTTAAATGCAAAAGAAAGTTCTTTACTAAATATTTTTACAAATAAAATGTAAAGCGAGAATAGTTACAAATTTATAAGAATATAGTTCATTATTCACAATTATTTCAAAATCTAAATTTTCTAACTTTAAATGTTTCTTGATTGTAACGAGTCTTTAAGAGTGCTACATTATTTTATCTATATTTTATAGCATAAAATGCAGGAATTACTAGCGTTTTTGAACTATATATACGTATGTATATACTAACAAATATTTCAGATTTTAGCTCTTTTGAAGTTTAACTATCAGTAAACTATCTATCAGAAAAAATTTTTCGAATAATATATATAGACAAACTATAGATAAATATAGATGATAAACTAAGAAAATTAAAAATAAAGTTAGCAAAATATAAAGAAGAAGAATAGTATTTATATATTTTTACTGCTACATTTATTATTGCATAGATACAAATCTTTATATATTGATAAACAATTAGAAAAAATTAATTTTTTTATTCTTTCGATATTTTTTATTTTACACGCACATAATATAATATATTCGTAAATTTATTACTAAAAATTAATCAGAAATAAAGTAAAAAATAATGTTTAAATTTAAATAATTTTACTTTGTGATATAATCGTGGAATTATGATATACAACATTAATCTGCAATATATATATATATATATATATATATATATATATATATATTTATATATAAATTATATAAAATATTTTCCAAAATAATTAACGTTTCAATAATAACTTCATATAATGTATAAAATACAAGATTACTATATGTTATGGTATAAGTGCGAATAAATATATGAGTTGGAATTAAAGATAAATGTCAAGGTAAATATAAAGTAAATAAAATTTTTTATAAACGTTTAATATCTTCTAATATTTGCAATTGTACTTTAAGAAATAATACGACAAGCTTTTCTGTTATTTCTCACTACATACATGACAAGGTTGCCGAATATAAACAGCGCGCTATACATCGAAAAATTCGGCGTTCGTTGTGTTATCCTTTACTTTATTGTTATTCACGCGATGACACACGTATTTCACGAAAAATGTAAGTACTCACTACGATTACAATTGATTAAATGTGTGCGATTAATTAAATCTTGTAGTTATTGTTTCCTAACTAGTCATTAACTCAATTTATGAAATATAACGTAATATCAAAATGCGATTCTCTATTTATCTCGTGATTTTTAACAGATTATTGTGATAATAGAAAGTATCGATTGAAATGAGTGATGTTATATTTCAGTAAATAACCTTATATAAACATATATTTTAACGTCTTTAGTATTCAGTGATATTTAGCATACATTTCTCAACATACTAAATATCGTCGTAATATTTTTTGAACGCGAACGCAAGAAGAATATCAGAAGATGTACAATGCAATTATTCTGTGTGATTATTAATAATTATCAATTCCTGCTTAATTACTTTTCGCAATTCGTAAGTTAGAAGTACTGTAGCACTCTTTAAGATTATTCACGAGAGAAAAAATAATATTAAGAGAATCGAAACTCGAAAAATTTCTATTTATATTACAAAATTTGCTTGTGAATATATTCTTAATTGGTGCTTATTTTTTTGTCATTTTTCTGCAAAAATATTTATTAAAGAATATTATTTTGTATTTGCTAAAAAAGCGCAGAAGAATTAACTTTGTTACACATATGTAATGTATGTATGTATGTATGTATGTATGTATTTATGGGTGTGTAAAAATATATAATATAATTTGTTTTTTTTTTGTTGACATATATAATGCTAATTTTTAGAGAAATTTTGATTTTTAATATTTTCTCCTTTTTTGTTATTTATCTCAAGTTTCTTTATCATAATTTTTTTGTATTCATTTTTATCATATTTTTATCATTATTTTTATCATAATTTTATTGTATTCTATATATACGCAGTTATTTTCTGTAAGTTCGTTTAAAAGTTTTCACAAGTTTTAAATTTTTGCTCCAAGAACGCTCTAAACTTTAATAATGTATTTATTGTTATTTTTTTAACCCATTAAACTATAAAGACTTATTACAATGTGCGTTTTATTGTAAGTTAGAGTTGAAGTTTTGAAACATTAATGAAGACCCATTATTAAGCTGGGTGAAAGGTAGTTCGTACATATATTTGTTCGTATAAGAAATAGCCAAGTGGGAGGCGCATCTATTCACACCGAGGCGCACTGATCTGCAAATGCAAGCCTCGTTGAATGGTAAACGGTAGGGAGATGAGTCTAAAGCAGTAGTTGACGCGGAACTCTCGATTTACTTCATGCGACGAGCAATTTGACGGAGTATGCCATAAAGGGAAGTACCTTGAGTTTGAAGGAAGGTGTCTTTGCTAGAGCAATTTTAATAATAACCATCCGCTCGACATCATACATATTATTGTCGATCATGCCTATTTTTCTATTAACAACTTCTTTGGTTAATGTAAAATTATTTGTTTAATTATACGTTAATTTATACGTACAAATAAAGTTTAGTTAGTTTTATAAATCATGTCTATTTTTCTATTAACAACTTCTTTGGTTAATGTAAAATTATTTGTTTAATTATACGTTAATTTATACGTACAAATAAAGTTTAGTTAGTTTTATAAATTTCAAATTTAATAAATTTGTTTTATAACAATTATTTGTGTTTTTTGCAATTTTTTCTTTTTTAATATTTAATTACAATTTTGTTTCACATTTGAAAAAAAATATTATATTTAAAAATATAATAATCATATCGTAAAAACTTTTACTTGGGATACTATATAAAAATAAAGTATTATATTATTAATCATTAAACAAAAATAGTGCTGAAGTTAATATTACTGAAATTTATTATTAAATGTTATTGTTATAGAATTGAAAGAAATTAAACATCTGAACAATGTGAGAGGAATATATGGACGGACACCACACAGACTGGGTAGACTCGGCGAAATTACGAACACGTGGCGAGACGTGAAGCGGGGTAAGTTAGCAAATTACATTTCGTGAGATCTACATAGTGTGGTTATATATATTTTATTCAGAATGTTATATCTTGAAATATAGAATTAAACATTAATTTGTAAAGTTTGCATGATATAAATGTTATATGTGCATTATAAAATATACGAGATAATGTTACATTGTCGTGATTACATCTCTCTTTCTCTTTTTCTCTTTCTCACTTTCATAATTCTTTTTCTAAATTATATAATGACATACACATTCATTTTTAAATTAAAAAAATGATTACGCTTCTCCTATTTATCAAATTTTAGATAACGGTATAAAGTTATATATAATAAATATATAGATTAAAAATAAATATAATATTAAATATAATAGAAATTTTTCATTTTTGATAAAAGTAATTTATTTTGGATATGTGTGTGTATGCGCAATTTAATATAATATTATTGTATTAATATATAAATGCTCGTGCACGATAAATAATGCTGTTAGATTAAAATATGTGCCCTCAATTTCGGTTTTAATCCAATTTTAAACAACGCTGGATTTTGGTTTAATGGAAAAGTCGCATTTTCCGGAGAAATCGGAGGGATCGCAGGATATTATACACGAGAAACTACACAGTGAAGATAAACGAGTTTTAATAAATAAAATTCTGTATGTGTATGTGTGTGTATCTGGATCTCCTTGAGATGCTATACTGTATAAGCGTTCAAATTTCACCTCACGTACGTATCATGGTATGAGCCGGATGACGAATGAGGAACGGAAAGAGCGGCGATCGTTCCGTTCACTGAAACTTCAATTTCCAAGTTTGATAAATTTTGGTTTTTAAGAGAAAGGAACAGAGAGAGAAAGAAAAAGAGAGCGTTTCAACAAATAAAAACATGAATAATATTCGATAATATTTGATGAATATTTCTTGTTAAAAGCTTGGACAAATTCTAATCATTGAATTCATTTTTGAAATTATATATATGTTAAAAAACAAATTTGTTCTTTAAAAAATCTCTTATTTGCTTATAATGTTTTTTTCAGAAATTATATATTAAAAGAAAATATAAAAAATTATATATTAATTATATATTAATTATATATTGATTATGTAAAATATTTATTCTTTGTCATAACATTGCGATAGAAAAATATTTAAAAGGTGATTATGAAAGAAATAGTAAAAATTAGGTTACAGATACTGTAACTATTAATCCTTTTTATTCTGACATGAAACGATTAGAACAGTGCTCTTGCTAAATTTTAAAAGGTCTAATAAAGCACTGCCCATAAATATGTATGATAGCATATCTAATTTCCTGAAAATGAGAATATAGAATGTCAAGTAGATTAATCGTTTAAATAAAATCATCTAAAAGTATACTAAACAATCTCTGCAATGTGTTCTAATTATATCGTTTTATATAGAGTTATATAAAAAACAAACTATATATTGATATATTATATTATGCTACATTTTACATGTGAAGTATAGAATCATTTTATATAAAAAGATTTATTTTATAAAAATTTTTATATAAAATTTTATATAAAAAAAAATTTTTATATAAAATTTTTATATAAAAAATCATTTTATATAAAAAAGAATGCACAAATCATCAATATAAATAAAAGCAATTTCTTGTGCTCATAATTTCATATTGATAATAACATTTTTCACATTTTCTCATACTGATTTATAGTGAAAGATATAAATATCTCTATTTAATACGTTACTCGCCATATAAATATAAATATAGGCCTATTTGTGAAAAAATTAAGATTAAAAGTTATAACGCTCTTATTAATTTTTAATAAGAAAAACGAATTAATTATTTTTCTTATTTTTTAAGAAGAAAAAGAATAATGAGAATATTATATAAAGCATTAGATATTATGTATGTGATATACAATACGTTAAATTTATTTTTTTAGCGTTTAGCCTGCTGTGCGTGAAAAAATTTTTCGGCAGCGCGACAATGCTGGAGGCGCCGCCAGGAAGTCGCGAGGATCTTGTAGAGGCGGCAAGAACTCCATGTACACCTACTGGTAAGTGACACAAGCGCTTTATCATAAAGTTCGAAGGGAGTTTCGGGAGCTGGCGAAATTTATTAGTCTGCGTAAACACGCTCGGTTATATATGGTTCTACGAGTATCAAAATAAATGGCCACAGCTTGATGGCATTGTACGTTGTTGATAGTTGCTTTGATTACATGGAAACAAAAGCGAATGAAATCTGGTAAATTAATAACTCTGCCAAGAATATCTATGAAACAGGGAAACTATATTATCAACTTGTATTATTGAATGAATGAATTAATATAGATAATTATAAACGTAAACAATAATAAGAAAATTATGATAAAAGCCTGAACTATTTATTAGTTTACCTCCTTATTAGTTTAACTAAATCTAAAAATTATGTCGTATTAGAAGAAATTATTATAATAATTTTGCATACATTCAGGTATACATTTAAATAGCAAAAGCCACTTTATACGAGATGCTGATGTGCGCTGATGTCAGAAATTTTCCAGTAATCTCGATAATCCTACAAACTTCTATCATGTTTACTCTTTATTCACGTTTATCCCTCAAACTTTATCATTGCACCGCGACGGCTATCACTCACTCCTAAAAGGCGACGTTACAAATTACCCTTGATCAGCGTATAACGAATTACCTTCTCGTTTTATCAGATTGCACTGCGCTGTCTTTGCTCTCGACGATCGCAATAAATTAGTTTCTTCTCTTACCTCTACCTAGGTAATTACAATCTTGCCTGATAATATCATTAGAAAATTACCACCGAGAAACATTTCGTTAGGATCGCTCCTCGATGCATCGTCCTTTGTGTTAGCGTCGTAAAAGCATCCTCTTGCGCAAGGGATGCAAGCCGTCGTCTCTCTTCCTCCCTTGAACCGGTATCCGACACTGCCGGTAATTGACACCGTTTTCACGGTTAAACCGCTTTCCAATTTTCCTCTTATTTTCACGATGTAATAACTTACCGAGCCCTAAGTTTAGTTATGGGATGGGTCAAGGGGGTAACAGTGCTGTTGGCGGCGACTAACGGGTGTTTAAACTATATATATAGAGGCATCTTCTTTAGAAGCCGCCGCTGAGATAAGCTCTCATTGGCGACCGAAGCGTAATCACTATGGCTTCCTGAAATAGCGTCAACTCTTCACGCCACCAACGCCGAGAGTCCTTGTCGGAGGAGCTTCGATCACTCGTCAATTGTAGAATAGTTTTTGCAAAAATTACTGTTGGCGTGTTGCGGTGAACTTAACTCCATATAAGATTGTGATAGATAAAAGATAAAAGATTATAATCAAATTGCAAAAATTGGAAGATTTTTAGATTAATTAATTTTAATTTACATTTTAATCTACATTTTTAAATTAACAAACTACATTTTTAAATTAATCTACATTTTTAAATTAATAAACCTGTTATTTTTTTAACTCAATAATTTATGTTAATATTATTAAAAAATTAGAATCAATCATTGGATTGAGTTTCGTAAAAAATGATATATTTCGTGCAGTTAGTAATAGTGAAATGTAGACTCGCATCGCTCCAAACGATCGATTTTCTTCTCGTCGCAGTTTCCATTTTTCCAGCATCGAGACATCATAAATCTTATGAAAAAGTACCCTTGCGAGTGCTCTTTTACGAACGAACGACATGCGATGATGATCGAGATGCAGATCGAAAAAATTGGCCCCACTATGGGATAAAAGTTTCTGAGAGTCTCGTGGGACGCAACCCTCAATGTGTGCGTGTTCCTGACATAGGATTTCCATCTTTGCTCTATAAATCAAAATGTCGTTGATTTCGTAGCGGCCGCCTGTCCTCCTCTAATTTCTATTGCAAGTCACCGTCTGCCGACTTTGTGGAAAAAGTAAATAATGGCCGACCTTAAAAATGCCAGCATGTTTTAAAAAACTTTCGAGTGGCTCCCCTCGTCTTCATTCTTTCTTCCTTTCTACTTTCGCATTTTCTGCTCCCTTTCGTAGTTGCTTCCTTGTGCGCGAGGCAACCTAGAAACTTTGGTAATTACGCGGAATTAAGCTTCTTAAAATTTATAACGCGATCGGCTTGACACATTGGCAATATAAGAGGCAAAACGGACGATTTAGTAAAAGATGTAAAGTAATGAATTGTTACTCTTTGTTTACTTTGAACACAAATAATTTATAAAACATGTATATTGTACGAATAACAGAATTTGATAAAAATTATAAAATAAAAATTATTATTCGTACGTATCAATGTTTTACGAATATATTAATATTTTAACATATATATGTGTGTGTATAAATATATAAAGCACGCGAACAAAAAGCAAATACAATTAAAACGTATTATATTTTTGCCAGTAATTAATTAATTCTGCTTTCAATAATAGCTCGTCTGGAAATCTGAGATGCGGTTATTTTTATTCTGATCCTTATCGATTCTCTATAATATATTATTGGTAAAAGAAAATATATGTAATATAGATTACATATTTATTTTCCGATAATGTATTATTATTGTTTCAATAGTTTCTTTTCGGCGCAGTCCATAATAATTTATATAATAATATATCACAAAATAATGCGCGGTTCTCTCGTGAATTTCATATCGGATGAAGTTATAATGCGGAAACAGTTTGCGACGAGCGAGTTCAGTGCGCACTGAAATTAATAATAACGCGCATGAGAGTATCCCACGCGCCTCTGTTGTATTAATTAATATGAAATTCTAGATCGGCAACTGTCACGTCGAGAGCGCGGAGCCGCTTTTCTTGTATAATTAATAATAATCCACGAAGCTACCGTAAATGCTTCGTTACGAACTTGAATATAAACGCAGTCCGCGTAGAATGCAAAATGTCGCTAACGAGATTAAAAGATAGAAGTTTAGGCAGAACTTATTAAAATATGAAAAGAACACTTGGCATACGCCGAATATATTAATTACTTTACGGGAATTAATGCCATTTTCTCCTTCTGCATATTTGAAAGATTCAAATTAGGAAATTTAGGAAATATTAAATCAATTATGATTGAATTAATATTATAACGATATTTAAATTTTATATATTCTAAAAAAGGCAGCAAGCGTCGAAATTTACGAAAATTTAAATGATTTATAAATGAATTGATTATCTATAAAATGATTAATAGTTATATAAGGAAAATTTTGGAAGATTGTTTAAATTATAAAACTTTTGATTTAGAATCTTAAAATTCGACTTTAATCTAATTTTATGACATTGTGAAGGCAACACGAATTAATACACAAAAATCACATGAGAGTTTGTGATTTGTGCAAATAAAAATACATAATGCACATAATATGCAATTCGAACAAATGCTTTATTAGATTTTTAACGTATCATGTATTTATTCATATTTATTCGCGTGGATAATGTAACCGATAATGCATTTCGAATATAATTTATCAACGATAATTAATTATCGGATTATATATCACGGATCATGGCTATGATTATTATCGATATTTTTTCTTTCTCAATATTATCAAGACTTCGATAGCGGCTCATAACGAACGACTCGATCTAATTAAATTTGCGCGACGAGGGAGATGCGATTTGTAGGGCAAATGTTTGCAAATAAAAACAATCTGTCTTTACTTGATATTCAAGAGCTAATCGAAAATAGTCTTACTAATAATAAGTACCTATTGTGTCTATTCCTCTTTCCTTTATATCTGTATCAATAATTATTACTTTCAATAATTACTAGGAATCAAAACAGGAATAATTTTAGCAATTTATGATTTAATGACAAATGGTTATGATCTTTATGCTTATTCTTTATATACAACATGGTAATCAGCGCAAATTATATTATTTTGCTTCAATTATATTATTTTGCAATTTTTTATCATCTATATATATAACATCGCAAATTAAAACCAAAAAATTTATTTAATAAAGAAATAATACACATATATATCATTATATCCATTTTGCTTTTATTTTATTTAATAACAAAGCGATTTATCTATGAAAAATTTTCTGTGCAAAAAGAATTTATTATACCCATGAAATTATTCATTAATAGTAAAAGGATAATAGCAGTAGGAATATTGGTAGTTAGCGGAAATATTATCGATGGTAAAGTCAACTATAAAAAGTTGGTAAAGTCAACTATGAAAAGCAAACTATAAAAAGTTATATGTAGCTGCTATGAGAAGTAGCAACGGACCGTTATGAATCAAAACTGAAAACCATAATTTGTTAGTAGTACAACACTATACATCTAATAGATATAGTAACGAGCAATTAAATGTTAAACAGTGTTGTCTTGGGGAATTTTTTATAATAGTAACAGTAACAGTAACAGTATTATGGATATTTGATAATGTAATGAAAATGTAATTTCGATAAAAAAAGCATTAAGCTAATTTAATTGATATTAATGGTACAAATTGACAAACTTTTGTCATTACTTTTGTATCGTTCTCTTTCTACAAATCTTTTATTTGTGTTTTTGATTTAATATCTGATAGATCCTATAATTATATATTTATTTGATATTTTTTAATAATTTACGTTTGAGAAATGTATAATATTATCGGCAATTTTTGACAACAGACGGGAAAGCTATTAGAAAATTTCACGTGTTTTTGCGCGTATACATTCTTCCTCGAGATAAACTTTCACAATATATCCGATAAACACCAAGTTCCTGTTTATCTCGCGCGATGCGATCAGGCAGCGATGGAGGGACGACGCTACGTGTGAGTTGACTTACTAAGGGTCAATAGGACGCGTCACGAATTATGACGTTTGATATCCAAGTCAAGGGACGAGATCAGGCGAGTGTCTCAAGCGGTATATAGCCGAACTCGGTTTAAGAGCAAATACATCGAAGTCCACTCGGCTAACATTGAATAATTCATAAAGTTCGACCGACGCCGGCAGTGCTATACCAATAGCCATTGAACTGTTCATCACGGGCTATTGATTGGGGTGCTTTCTGTTTTCTCTCTCTCTCTCTCTCTCTCTCTCTCTCTCTGTGTTTCTATC